ACAGGCATATGAGTTGAACATTTATCTCAAATAGATATACTCCTTGGAGAGAACAATCATGGGAGAAAGAAGGGCTGCTTATGCACAAGGAGACAGCTCAGGGGGCAGGAGTGTATGGAGGGATGGACCCTGGGAAGAGGTAACTATGAGGAGGAAGTGGGAGGGGAGCTGTTGCATTGTGGTGAACTTTGGTCAATTACATGAGAGAAAGTATATGTGAACTGCTGTATGGAAAGTGAATTTGCTCTGTAAATCTTCACCCAAATCACAATAAAAAAAAAAAAATTGGAAATAGAAATATCATTTGATACAGCAATCCCATTACTAGGAATATATCCTAAAAATTTGACATCTGGGACATGTATATATATATATGTACACCCATGTTTATCACAGCAGTATTTACAAGAGCAAAGAGATGGAAACAACCTAAGTGCCTATCAACAGATGAAGGGATAAACAAACTATGGTACTTACACACAATGGAATACTATGCATCATTAAAAAATAATGAATAATCAGTGAATCACCTCATAACATGGATGAACTTGAAGGACATTAGGTTGAGTGAAATAAGTCAATCACAGAGGACAAATATTTTACGAGTCCAGTATTGTAAAAAGTCAATGGAAGGTTTACACAGAGAAGGAAATTTTCTTGTTGGTTACCAGGGATGGGAGGGAAGGAAAACCTAGATAAGCCTCACAGCACGATCACTTTGTATAAAAGGGACATGAGATAAATGCATTGTATGTGGGAAGCTGTTGTGTATCCGACATCTGATTATATACACTGGGTCCTGTTCTGCATAATGGATTTCTAAACTCTGTTATAACCTGATGTGATCACAGACATATATGCAGTCAGATGCTTCCCAAACAGATGATATGCAGTGCATGACTATAATCCTTACAATAACCTTATGAGGTAGGTACTATTATTGTTATTATCATTCCCACTTTACAGATGAGGTAACTGAGGCACAAAGAGATTTAAAAACTTGGTCAATAAGCTAGTTAATAGTAAACAAAACATACATTGCCATCGAGTCAGATATGACTCATAGCAATCCTTCCTTGGGTTTCTGAGGTGGTATCACTATGGAAGTAGATTGCCCAACCTTCCTTCTGAGGACTGGCTGGTGGGTTTGAACTGCCAGCTTTCTGGTTAGCAGTCAAATGCCTTAGGCACTATGCCACCAGAGCTCCCTGTAAATTGTAGAGCTAATATTTTATTAAAAATGCAAATTTTTGTATTTTGTTGTCCTTAGACATTTATATATTTTGATGGGTAACTAGTATTTTGAAGGGTGGAGTTGCAAACAGTCAAATGCATGTTATACATCCAATTCTTAGAAAGTAAAACCATGAGAGTATATGCAGATATTGGGGCTATATAATGAAAGAAAATTGTCCTAAACTGATGAAAAATATAAATGCTTTCTTTTTTTGTTTGCCTTAAAAGACCTTGCAGCTTCTTCTGTCACTGACTTGAAACATTGCCCTGAGGCTGCCGTGTGAAGAAGCCAGCTCTAGCATGGCAGATAAGAGGCCACAGGTAGTACAGACAAGCACTTCATCCAAGGCCACTTTGGTTTAGCAAGCCAATGCTAGCACCAACCACCTGACATGTGAATGAGGCTATTTTAAGTCATCCAGATTAGCCATTTGATAATCATAGCCACATGAGTGGCCTCAAGGAAGTCCACAGAGCTACCCAGATACATTCATCCCAAATTATTGACCCATAAAATTGTCAGGAAATAATATGGCTACTGTTTGAAGCCATTAAGTTTTCAGGTAGTCTGTTATGCTATAATAGGTAAACAGATAAAAAAGAAAAATTAACCCATTGACATAGAGTCAATCCCAACTCATGGTGACCCATATGTTGCAGAATAGAACTAAGCTCCATAGGGTTTTCTTGGCTGCAATCTTTATGGAAGCAGATCACCAGTTCTTTCTTCCACAGTGCCACTAAGTGGGTTTAAACCTGTTCTGGCTACCTGGTGCTGCTCTGACAAGAAATATACCATAAATGGGATGGCCTTAACAAACAGGAGTTTATTCTCTCACAATTTGAAGGATTTAAATCCAAGGTCAAAGTGCCAGGCTCTAGGGGCTGGGTGAAAACCCTTCAACCTTGGGGCCCAGCTCTGCCTCCTGCTCCCGGCCCACTGGAGCTAAAGGCATTTCTTCACTCAGACAGCTGCTGGCTGCTGAGGCTGAGAAGCCCCAAGGTTGTCAAGTAAAAAGGCACAGTCTCGATGTTACCAAACCACACGGCAGGCCACTAACTTAAGTCCTTTAAGTCCACTGTAAGTATAGCAGGCTGCTGAGCAATGACACTGCTACGTGCAGGGTCCAAGCATGCCATAGGCTAGAGACCATTCTCAAAGCTTCTTCTTATATACAAGAAGCAGACCACATACCCAAAGGCAGCTACTCAGCTGCTCCCAGTACATTCCACCGTGGAGTTGATTACCAGTCTCATCATGTGGAATACTACATCCAGCTGCCCAGCCACTCCACCAGGCCTAGCCAAGTTGACATACAAACAAAACCATCACAAAACCTTCAACTCTTCTGTTAGTAGCCAAGTGCAAACTATTTCCACCACTTAGATAACAAATACAACTTTATAAAAACCATACATTAAAAACAAACAAACAAAAAGGAAGTGAACAATACAATTGACAGTCTTGAAAAAATTGTGTTTTAATGTGACAAAGAAACCTTAATACCGACAATGAAAATTTTGGCTCAGGAATAAATGGATTATCATATTATTATTTGTTAAGAATTCTCCTATTCCAAAACATTTTTCCAGCAAAGCCTAGAAGGGAAATTTGTTTTTTAAAAAAGTTTATATATATATATATATATACCAATCAAACGAGGAAATTCAAAAATACTAACTTACCATGGTTTTAGTGCAGTATCCTAAGACGATTTCATAGTTTAACAATTTGTTCTCTTGTATTATTTTTGGACCATAGGATTCCAAAATAATATGTAGACTAGTAGTTCCTGGATAGATAATTTGAGCCCAAATTGTTAACGTTTCTCTCTTGTCCAAAGAGTGAAAAACATGAAAAGGATTAGTATGAAATGAGGTGTAGGGGCAGTTTTCATTTTTTTGAAAAGATATGCTTTGTATTTCCAATATTAAGGGGTATTGCTGAGTTTGTAATGTACCATTTCCAAAAACATATATCAAATATAACTGACCATAAACATTCAAACCAAAGAATGATTTTATTGCCTTATTTGTCCATGAATATAGCCGTACTGCATCTTTAATATTAACCTTGGAATGAAACATTATATTATTTTCCATTTTTATGACAATATTCCCAAAATAATCTGGAAAAAAGAGAGAAAAGTTTGTGTTATTCTAAGTAATCATAATTATGTGTTATTTCATTGAAGTACACTTTTAATCAAAATATTTTATAATGACTAAGTGTTCATAAAGGAGCTCTGGTGGTGCAGTGCCTAAGACATTTGACTGCTAAGCAGAAGGTTGGTAGTTCAAAACCACGAGCTGCTCTGTGGAAGGAAGATGAGGCAATCCACTTCCATAAAGACTTACTGCCTTTATACACTTAGATAAATTATAATTTTCAGGCACAAATCCATAACTTTACATTATTTAGAGAACTTCTCTCCCACTTCAGAGTAGCATAGTTTTCTTTTAGGATACTTCCTCCCTTATTTCCACTATATCACTTTTATGCACATCTTTGATGTAGAAAAAGAGCTGGAATTTATGTATAACATATAATAAATATGAGCACAACAAAAATGGTTTTATCAGGAATGAAAAAACTGAAAGTGATTATAAACAGTGGCCTCTTCACGTTCACTCACACTAGATAAAGAACTTTCTTTCCGCAACAGAATATTCTGATTAAGTCACAGGGAGTCGTTTAGGTTAGGTCTCTTAATGTCTTTGATTCTGTTGTCATCTGTAAAATAAACTGTTGGAGTAGTTCATTTCAGAGCTTCCTTTCCAGACATGACATTCACTGCATAAAGTTTCTAGAGTAAACCTTCTTTATTAAAATAAACAAACAAGCAAGCAAATAAAAAAACACATGGAGAGAACTAGCTAAAAGGAAGAAGATGAGTTCGTAGAGTCAGAGAGGTTCAGAGCATATTGTGCTTACACATCTTATATTTGGAATCTGAATAAGTCACTGCCATTTTCACAAATTACCATAAATTCAACTAAAACTTACCTAAAAAGGAAAAGTATCCATATATCACAAGATGGAAGGGGAGAAGTTGTTGGTGTATGATATAATAAAACATATTGCTACAGAAGGCTGGTGGTTCAAACCCACCAGTCACTCCTAGGAAGGAAGATGGGGCAATCTACTTCTGTAGTGATACTGCCTCGGAAACCCAAGGAGGGGTTGCTATGAGTTGGGTCCCACTCGACGGCACATAACAACAACAACAACATGGTGGAAACAACCCAAATGTCCATTTACAGATGTATGGATAGACAAAATGTGGTATATACACTCAGTGGAGTATTAATCAGTGAGAAAAAGAATTGAAGTTCTGATATATGCTATGATATGGATGAACCATGAAGACATTAGGTTGAGTGAAGTAAGTCAATCATAAAAGGACAAATATTTTATGATCTCATTTACATGAAGTACTTAGGATAGGCAAATGTATAGAGGCCAAAGTTTAATAGTGGTTATCAGGGGTGAGAGGAAGGAGGTAAGGGGGAATCATTGTTAAGGAAGCACTGGGTTTCTGTTTACGGGGATGGAAAACTTGGCAATGGATATTAGTGATGGCTGCACACCATGGTTAACATAATTGATATCACTGAATTGTACATGTGAAGGATGTTGAATTGGCAAATGTGTGATCTATATCTTTATTTTTTTATTTTAAGAGCTTGTTTTACATTCAATGTAACACATACATTTAGCTTCATTCCCCATTCGCCATGTCCAACCCTAACCCAGTCTCCTCCCCTCCCTACCCTGCAACCCTCCCCCTGTGTCCCTTATACTTATGCACTCCTGTTTGTCCTGCATTTCCTCAGTTTGAATGTTGGTTCTTTGGTGTCCCATGGTCTATTGCTCTAAGGAATGTATTACCATTAAGTGTGTGGGTGTGGCATCCTGGGTTGAGTGGTCTGCGTGTACATCTTGTTAACTATTGGGCTGAGAGCCTACCCCTGGGGGTGAGTTTTATTCCAGGCGCCGAATGTATTTCAGGGCCATAGTATTGGGAGTTTCACCAGATTTCATCTGACCAGTAATTCTGGTCATCATTGAGTTTTTGGATTTTGTTCCACGTTTTCCCTCCCACTTTATCCAGGATCTACAGAGTTGATCCTTTCCTGAGCGGTTGGCATTGGTAGCCGGGCACCATCCAGTTCTTCTGGTCTCAAGGGCCATCATGTCCTAGGGCTGATTGCTTCTAAATGCCTTTTTTTTTTTTTTTTTTTTTTGGTGCGTTCTTCTATACTTCCGACGTTAGGAGACCATTAGCTGCATCTTAGTTGGCTGCTTGAAAGCTTTTAAGACCCCAGTCGCTACTCACCAATGTAGGATGTGGAACAATGCTTTTATGTATTTTGTTGTGCCAATTGAGTCTGGTGTACACCAGTACTATGGTCCTGAGGTAGTAGCTCTATTGGATCTCTCTCCCATAGTGTCGGCATGTCTGTGAGGGATTACTCTGTGTCTGTCTTCTATTGTTTCTGTAAGGACTGCAGGTATTTTGTATCACTGGTGTCTGTACAAGATTATTAGCCTCAGCTGAGTCTATCCTTGGTCTAGCGTATATCTCTATTCACTGACTCCTGTCTGATCATCTCAGGTGTTTATGTGTTTTTAGAATAATAAAAACTTTAAAAAGTATTTGTATGTATGATGATATATAAAATTTAAAACCTAAAAAAAAAAGCAATATATAGATTTTGGATATGTACATGAAGTAAACACATACCCATATCAAATGAGAAAGTTATACAAAATTTTAGGTAGTGATTATCTCTTGGAAGAAGGGGATGAGGATTATGTTTTTAAGAATTTGAAATGAGAATGGTGAATGTTAATCTTTGTTAAACCTTAATATTACATGGATGTTCGTTTTATTTTCTGTATGTTTTATATGTGTGAAATATTTCACAATTAAAGAACAAAATGTATACATAATGCTTATCTGCATCCTGATCTCATCCTCCTTTTACTACTAAAACAGAAGATATGAATCTCTTCCAGTTAAAGAGTAATACTGACAGCCTCTGGTGTCTTAGTGATATATATATATATATATATAACATTTTGTTTATCCATTCTTCTTTTGATGGACAGTTGGATTGTCTCCACCTTTTAGCTATTGTGAACAATGCTGCTATTAATGTTATTATTGAAGTATCTGTTCTAGCACCTGCTTCCAATTATTTTGGGTATATATTCAAGAGGTAACATAAGATTAAAAACAATTGATGGTACTGAAGGAAGAAGTCCAAGCTGTACTGAAAGAATTGGCAAAAAAAAAAAAAAAAAGTTCCGGGAATACTCACTGAGATGTGTCAACAAGTGGATGCAACACTGTTGATGCTTACTCATTTATACTAAGAAATTTGGAAGACAGGTACCTGGCCAACCAACAGGAAGAGGTCCATATTTGTGTCAATTTCAAAGACAGGTGTTCCAACAGAATGTGGACTTTATTAAGCAATATCATTAATATCATATGCAAGTAAAAGTTTACCAAAGGTAAATCAAAAACTGTTACAGTACTACATGGACAGGGAACAGCCAGAAATTCAACAAGGATTCAGAAGAGAATGTAGAATGAGTGAGATCATAGCTGATATCAGATGTATCTTGGCTGAAACAAAGAATACTGGAAAGATGTTTATCTGTATTTTATTGACTATGCAAACGGGCACTCAAATGTGTGGATCATAACAAAATATGGATAACATTTCAAAAAATAGGAATTCCAGAACACTTAATTGTGTTCATGTGGAGCCTGTGCATAGGCCAAGATGTAGTTGTGTGAACAGAACAAGTGGATACTGGTATGGTTTAAAATTAGGAAAGGTGTGTGTCAGGACTGTATGCTTTCACTATACTTATTCCGTCTGTATGCCAAGCAAGTAATCTGAGAAGCTGGACTATATGAATAAGAATGCAGCATCAGTGCTGGAGGAAGACTCATTAACAACCTCTGATAGGCAGAAGACACAACCTTGTTTGCTTAAAGTGAAGAAGACGAAGCACTTACTGACAAAAGTTAAAGACTATAGCTTTCAGTATGGGTTACATCTTAATATAAAGAAAACAAAAATCTTCACGACTAGACCAATAAGCAACATCATGATAAATGGAGAAAAGATTGCAATTACCAAGGATTTCATTTAACTTGCATCCACAATCAATACTCATGGAAGCATCTTTCCAGTATTCAAGAAATCAAACAATGTATTGGACTGGGCTAATCTGCTGCAAAAGACCTCTTTAAAGTGTTAAAGAGCAAAGATGTTGCTTTGAAGACCAGGGTGTGACTGACCCAAACCATAGTATTTTCAAACAATTCATTATGCATGTAAAAACTGGACAATTGAGTAAGGAAGACTAAAGAAGAATTGATGGCTTTGAATTGTGGTGTTGGTGAAGAATATTGAAAATACCATGGATTACCAAAAGAACGAACAAATCTCTCCTGGAAGAAGTGCAGCTGGTATGCTCCTTAGAAGTGAGAATGGCCAGATTTCATCTCATCTACTTTGGTCATGTCCCTGGAGAAGGTTATTATGGTTGGTAAAGTGGAGGGTCAGCGATAAAGGGGAAGGTGCTCAATGAGATGGGTTAACACAGTGGCTGGAGTGATGTGCTCAAGCATAGCAAGGATTGTGAGCAAGGCAGTGTTTTATTCTGTTGTGCATAGGGTTGCTATGAGTTGGAATGGACTTGACAGCACCTAACAACAACAATATAATTAGTTAGGTGATGGTAAGTGCTATGAAGAAAGTGAAGAAGAAGGGAGATAATAAGCCCATGGCAAAATGTGCAACATCATTAGTCACTGTTGTTGTTGTTGTTAGGTACCATCGGGTCAGCTCTGATTAATATTGACTCCATGTACAACAGAATGAAACACTGCCCAGTCCTATACCAATCTCACAATCCCTGCTATGCCTGAGCCCATTGTTGGAGTCACTGTGTAAATCAGTCTCAATAAGGGCCTTCCCCTTCTTCTCTGACCCTCCACTCCACTTTACCAAGCATGATATCTTTCTCCAGGGAATTGTCCCTTCTGACAACATGACCAAAGTAGGTGAGATGAAGTCTGGTTATTCTTGCTTCCAAGGAGCA